CTTGTTTTTTGACAAACAATGACCTTTCAGAGGTCAAATTGCTGTCAAAAATATGAATTGGCCTCTTCGCAGCAATTAACTTATAATTTTTTAATTCCATTGTATAAACACAAACAACATTTCACTTTATTCAAGGAAGCAAATAATAAATATTCGTGTATTTACTGTTGTTTTCAGATGGAAATTATACTGTTGCGAAAGTAACAGTTATTATACCGTGAACTGTTACGATACACAAACCATGCATAGTTGGGATGGATACCACGAATATTCAGCTCCAAGTAATTACTGGATCCATGGCGTGGCAGGCCAGCATTCCAATAGCAAAGAGTATGTAATATAAAATGTTTAAATCATCATATGCCGTCATCACACTCACCGTCAACATCACAACCAACAGCACTGTCATCATTATCATAATCATTGTTTACTGCCATCGGTTTTGTATATTTGATTGAATAAGTTACTGTGGTTTGGCTGGCTTATATATTTGTTTTTTGGTGAATTTGCTAATAGTTTGCAGACCGAAAAGAAATTAATTAGTGATTAATAGATTGATGTTAAGGCTTATCGCCCTCTTCAACATTAATTTTTTTTTCCCATTTAACAATGCATGCAAGGATTGTTTAACCAGCCAAAGCTAATCATATGGTACCTTGATATAGTAGAAATTTATATATTTAATCATAAATTGAACTTAATGTTCATAAAGAAATAAAGTATACCAAATGAATAACAGCCCTCAGAGTACAAAATCCCCCTTCCCTATCAATACATACTACTATTTTAAGTCTTTTTTATTCATGTTAAAAGCTGTTTAAAAATGGACCCTTATTGTTCTTGCAGGGACAGATTATGGCAGTACAATGTATGTCAAGTACAAACACCTTAAATCAATGATGGACTGACTGTAAATGCGGACTTTAAACTTTTATGATAGTGAAAAACACTTTCTTTAGTATAAAAAATTGCCTAATGAGAAATAGAAATTCTTTCAATAATTTATGGTTCTTATGGAATCTAAGTAAATAATTTACAGAGCTCAGCCCTTCAAAACATGTACGTTACTAACATACATTGAATAAAGAAGGGCCTATCAATCAGTGCCTAAACACAGAGCCTTAGTTTATCCGAGGCCTATTCGTAATAGCAATTTTGATTACTTATTTGAGGAAATAATAAAATTTCGAGAATTTATGGTGCCATTTGTCTGTTATTTTTGTAATTATTTTGCTGGCCTATAAAGTAATTCAGAACACAGGATGCTATGAATGACTACATTAACACTGTAGTAAAAGCGAACAGGGTAAAATCCCTTCTCTCTATCTGCAGTAGATCGGCATTAGCTATGGCTACTACTAAAATGAAGTCATTAAACCTGCTAATTGTTACATGCTAATAATAGTTCTGGTGGGTAAAATCTCCTAAGGACTCCAAAACTGTGGGAGTATATAGTGTATCGTGATGGAGACACTCATATGTAAACAATACAGTCAGGCTACACACAAGCTCATTGTTCAGCCATCATCTTTATTGAACAACAACAGTGTACCTCAACGTACGAGGAATGTGACCTCACAACTATGGGCGGCCAAACGGGCCATCACGTAACATCTCCCTTCCTCTCTTTTTTTGTTTGCTTGTTTGTTTGGTTTTTTTTAACTTTTATATTTTATATCAAAATTAAAACATGAAAAACATATGCAGTATAAGAATCCAATGAGTAACTGCAACACAGCATTGCAATACGCTGCAACAACATCAATGACGGTATAACGAATTATGTCGATATGGCTATTGATTATGAAGAGGGCAGCTTAAAAAAACATGTATGAAAGGTCGTCACTTATGATTTGTTTGTATATAAGCACAGTGTCCAAATAATTATATAAACAGTGATGATTGCAATAGCGAGTCAATCATAGTCCTTTAAATAACTGGGTTTTCTAACAGTCCGCTTAGTTTTTCTGGTTGGGTGCTGAGTTCTTGTCTTATGCTGCATGGTGTTCTGTTTCACATTTTTGTTTACTTGTTGAGGTTGTGGATTAAGGTGGATTGTGTTCTTGTTTGAAACTTCTTGGTTGGTTGCTGGTACTTTTCGCAGGAAACGACGGTTACGGCGTAGCGTCCGTCCAGCCTGATTAACAACATTGTATGAACGTTTGTTCACTTGTGATGTCACTGTAGCTTCATGCCATTTGGTTTTGCCTGGCTCAATTGGCTGCATACGAACAGTATCTCCTATTTGTAGTGGTTTTAACTGTGCTCTGTTGCTGTGTTTCTTTGTTGACAATTGGCGCTTGGCATGTAGTCTTTGAATGTCGTCGTTGATTTCGTACATTGGTGTGAGAGTTTTGTTTGTGGTTGGAAGTATGGTCTTTGTTTTTCTTCCCATTAATCTCTCGGTGGGTGTTGTCGTCATACCCTCCGTTTGTGTATTTCTGATGTTTAATAATCCAATGTATGGGTCTTCACCAGCACTGGCGCATTTCTTCATAAGGCGTTTAGCTACTTTAAC